CGTTTGACCATCGATCCATAATATCTTGTTCCAGTTTTAATATCATCCTTAACATTACGTTTTAATGCAATTCGAGTTTGTATAATTTAAATTTGAATACCAATATGATTTACCGTGGTATTTTACCATACCGTCACGAGATAAAGCTGACTAATGCCTATTATACAGTGCCATCAAAGGAAATGTAAAAAAAAAAAAAAACAATAACAATAAGGGATGAAACATTTTCAAAAAATATAAAATAATAATAATAAAGAATAATCGATAAGTTTTTAATTTTTTTCCTCTTGAAAGGTTCGATACGGCTGTGTTACGTATCTATAAACGATGATGTGCGGTATAATTTTTATTTTTTTCTGAACGCTATAACGTGAAATAAGTAAAAAATTACGACGTGACGAGTCCGTGAGATATTACGGAAGAATACCGAGGAACGTCGTCACAGAACAACCCTTGCCCCGTCGGTTTACTCACGTCGTCGTCGTCGTGACGGTGGTATTAACAAACCGTTTAGCCGACAAATTGGTTCCGAACGCGCGAAGGCAAGGAACGACTCCGTTCGTATGCTGCGGCGTAATATTGTAATAATGATAATATGTCAGTGTAACTAGAGCGTGTGATAAAAAATATTTATCCAGTGGCGTGTAGCAGTGTTCGTACTTACGTGATTTGTAATGTTTGTAATACGAACAACAATAACGTACCGTTCCAACGCCTCGGTTTAGCATAATGTATTACTATTATTGCTATTATTATTTAGTATCATCAACATCATCATCGCCTTCGTCAAATGTCGCCGTTTTCGTCGTTGTCGCCATAACTATTATTATGGAATTTTAACAGCCGTCGATTTTTCTTTCGCGTACACCCATCCGTGTATGCGTATATGCATTCCTAAATAGCTATGCTCTGTGTTATAGTACTACGTGTACGCGTCCCGTCGAGTTGATTTGCCAAGTCTCGTCACCGTGCATAATAATAATATTAAAATATCATAACGTCAGCACGTCCGTCATAGATTGGGGGAAATCGGATGACGAGTAAAAAATATTTTGAATGTAAACAAATGCAAAAATTCACGTGTCGCATTCGGATATCGTTTACTGCACTATCCAAAACGCGTTATATAGATGCGTTTCGATAGCGCTCGGAAATCCTGGTAACGCGTTCATTATAACCACAACATCGTACATTGTATTCTTATACTACTTATAATAGTTCCACGAGAAACAAGCGAACGCTGTAGTTTTCGAACAAATCCGTTGCAGAACTCAATACATAATATTATATGAACAGGCGAGTAACACAACACTATAGTCTATGTAATACTGCAATCACGCGCACAAGAATTTATCACTTTAGAACAATATTTGTATTTTATTTACTAGGTTCTAAACTTTTAACGCCGTAAACAATTTTGATTAGTACGTCTGATATATTATCCTATTATATTACTATCAAACATATTAGTATCTACTATTATTTCTTGTTTTTCATACATTTTAGTTAAGTTGATAGATTTTAATGTTTGAACTCCATAAATTTTAAATTAATAATGTTTTAGTTTTAGTTTTTATCGCCAATAATAATCGTTGCATCATCGTAGACGTTTCTTGAAAAAAGATTTTAATAATAATAATAATAAAAATAAATAATAATATATGAAGAATATTACATTAAGATTTAATGCGATGTGCACAGTATGAGAAGATGAAGGTACTAAATCGTAGTGATAAAAAACATCGTTTGATGTTGTAATAATTTTATATCGGAAAATAAACACCCCTGAAATTTCTCTAGGTTCAATAGATCTCTTACACAAAAAAAAAAAAAACGATAAAGAATCGTATAAAAAAAATAATTAAGATATTGATAAAACTGACATTTATATTGATGATCGTGTTTAATTTGACGTATTGTGTGTTTTTATATACTTAATATAGGGTTTTCAATATTCTGTATGTACATACTCCTAACGATGGAAAAACTGTTGAGGAATAATGAATTTGGAATGTTTGTGAATGTAAAGGTTATTTGTCATTTAGAAATACTATTAAGAGGCAAATGTTAAAATTGTACGTGATTAACATTTTCAATCCATAAAACGTATCATACCGTACGACGTATTACAATAACCTTAGCCCAATTAATTCAGGAGAAATATATGATTCTACCCTTGATTAAATATTTGTATTTGCATTGAATGGAGGGTTTGCCAAAAAAGTAATCGTTCGCCTGGTATTGCCGTGATCATTGTTGCGTTTAATTTACACAAAACCATAAAGTTTGGTATTTGTTGAAATACATCTTTCTGTATAATATACTGGATTCGATAGTGATATACAGATAAAAGAACCCTATTACCACGCTCTATTGGAAATCGACGTAGACATTGAAAACTGCAATAAAGTTGAAGTTTGGTTTCTATATAAACGAAATAAGTGTTTTTATTTTCCAGGAATTTATGTACACGATATAACGTTATTTTTTAAATATGTATATATGCATTCAGGGGCATGTCAATGGGGGGGGGGGGGGGGGTTTACAAATTTATAAAAAACGTATTGTTTAATATTTTTATATAATTTAAGTTTAATATTATAAACATTTGCAAGGATTATTTATATAATCTATTGTCGATGTATCTAGTACTATAAAATCAATTATTACCAAAATTATTATCTTGTAAAATAATACATATACATATACAATATACATTTGAAATGCGTAGTAGGAAAAATGTTGAACCATCTCCCCCCTGAATAAAATTTCTTGAGTCACCCCATATATGCATGTATAGTTTAAAGAGAAAATCAATTACACATTTTAATTATTACTTTACATTATAAGTTCATTGAATTCTCACATTATGATACAGATTATACGACCAAGTATGTATAGGTATTTTTCACAACATTTAACTTCGTGAAAATTAATCATGAAACTTTTTTTTGCAATGTTTAAGTAACTATTGGCGTAGCAATTTGGTATTTATCTTTATTTAAACAAACGAACATGCAACAACATTTTTATATCTTCAATGTTTACCCTTCGATTTTTGTAATGATTAAAATTAGATTAAAATAATTTATTTATGTTTAAAATTGAGTTAATTAAAGAACAATGTATCATAATAATAAGTAAATCTTATAATACGTTTGTGTTTGTTAATTAAAATTTTAAAGGTTGGACAGTTTAATTTCAGAACATCTTTAGTATTTTTGTACATAATTCATTTGTACACATTTATTTAAAATGAAAAACAGGATTTGTAGGATTATTTTTTACATAAAACGAAAAACGGTTAGGTTAATAACAAACAATGCAATAAGTTTATTTATTTTTTACAAATCATATTTGCACATTTTATAACAGGCTTTTTAAATAAAACTGTTGTATGATAATTGTAGATATAGACCATCGCTTCCCAAAATTTTTTTCTGCCGGACCCCTTAGAGATAATAAAAATGACCGCGGACCACTTAGTACAAATAAAAATTATAAAACAATAATAAATAATAATACTTTGTATATTTTAAATTTAAGATCGCGGACCCCCTCCGGTATACGTGCGAACCCTTAAGGGTCTGCGGACCACAGTTTGGGAAACGCTGGTATAGACTATGAATTGGGTAACATGAAGTATTTGTAAAATTTAAATTGTACAATCAGCTAACGTTTTATGGATGCACATGGTAAATAGCAATAAATACCGTTTTTTTTAATTCAACTTGTACATACATTTACATATTATTATCTTATTTAATTTTTTTTATAATACGCTACTATTTCATGCTTTTTGTACTTTTCTGTCATCTTGCATAAATGAACAATCGGGCTATGTGTTAAGAATACAAATCGCAATGACTCAATAACTAAACAAATTATTTATCTTCGCCACGTAATATGCTGATACTTTCCCAAGATAAGCTATACGAGAGAAAATGGCGATGTTCGTCAAAATCGATCATCTATCTGACTACAATATAATTCTTACCACGATGGTTTTACGATTAAATATTTAAGTTTGAAAATTTCTTCATTGGAAATCATCGTGAACCTATATTTCATTCGTGTTTATATAATATTTACCATTTCATTTCTACGATTTGAGGAAAAGATTTATCACATTTTTTTGAGAGAAGTAAAACTCCAAGAAATCCCTGTTTCCCAACGGATAGCCTTATCCTGTTAATTCTTTTTTGGCCATTTTCGAAGAACGGTGATTTTTTTTCTCTCAGAATATGTCTTTCGGGCTGCTACACTCTTCTCACCACTGTCTTATACATTTGTATTATTTTTACTAGCTTATCCATCGCGCGTAAAAGTTTGGGGTATTTCGCGTAAATCGCATTTACGACCGAATGTTTTGGACAACGTCCCGCGGGTTAAGTTGTAATGCTCCCGCTCCACTCACATGTTCTCTCAGCGATTCCCCGAGGACAATATCCCGAATTCCATTCCGGTTGACCGACCGTATGGGAAATTGCGGTGGGTTACATAAAAATCCAGTTTAATCGAAGTCGCTTTGAAAAAAATGGTTCCATTAAAATAGTCGGAGAATGAATGGAATCGGTCGCAAAACAAACAAAACAATACAGAGCAAGCACATAATATATTATGTAAAACGCTGCGGAACGATACCGGCAAACATTATTTCAAATTAAAATGCTAAGAACGAAAAAATGTTCCGTATAATGGGTGTAGTTAATATCTTTAAAAGACTCATTGATATTATTTCATAGGTTTTGCGAATAAAGAAATTAATCGTTTAAAGGTCACTAAGATGAACGAATAAAAGGGTTTTTGTAATCGGTGAATAATGTTACTGATGATTTTTTTAATTGGAACGATAAACGTTTGTATAATAAAACATCATATTTTTTTCTATTAAAATATACGCACGCGAATAATAAATAATTTATAAACATATTAGATATATCATTTTATTGTTATTTATAAACATTATTGAAGGTATGTTTTTATTATTTTTTTCATAGATTTCTTTGGGAAGACATATTGCAAAGAAATATTACGATGGGTTGTTTTTGTACCAGCGCTCGGACACACCACTGCAAGATCGTGTTGCTCGACGACCAAGAACTCGTGCACGAAGTACAGGTAAAAACAAAAAAAAAAAAAATTAATTAAAGACCGTTATTTATTCATATACGAGCAGTTAGATATTCGTGAAGATCAAATATTGTAGTTGTCTCTTATCCGTTTTATTAAAGACTTGTAATCATTTATCAAATACTAAAATCACAGAGGTCAGTTGTTTCCAAACTGGGAGACGCAAGGCAAATATTTATATTGTATATTACACTATCATATATTTACATTTAGATTGGCAGAAAAATTATTCTAATAGTTTAGTTTTCAATTCCTTTTTCAATCAACATAACTATTTATAATTTAATTTAATTTTTAATTTTAAATTTACACATATTTTATTCGTACTGTTTTTCGATGTTTAAAATAGGTATGAAATGTTTTGCCATGTTGAATTAATAGCAATCGCATTGAGGGATTTAAATTTACATGTAGTTATATAACCGTGTAATATTAAAATAATCTACTCAAACATTTTTAATTGAAAATATTCTTAGAGTACACAAGGTATCTGACATTCGAAAGTTACAATATGTACTACACGATAAACTGTTTTAAAGGCCATTGATAAACTAAATTCGTTCGTAATAAACATTTAACGGGTTCGCCACCGTGTCTAATCAAACGTTTTCGTAGCACAATAATTTATGGACATGCAATGTACGAAATTAGTAGGCGTGTTTCTCAG